GTGTTGGTTGAGAGGTGGGCGTTGGGGGTGCGGAGAGCGAGGGGGGAGGGGCTGTTTGTGACGGCAGGTGGCTGGGAGTGCAAAGGGCGCAAGTGTTCAGCACTGAGGCTGGAGACATGCGGCTGTCCACGCAGTCTGCCGAGACCCCGCTGCAGCACACGCGCGGAATATCCCTGCTCCCCGCGTGAGCAGCAGAACGCGGGTCGCTTACAACGCACTTGTTGCCTTGCGATCACGCGCACGGCCACTCTTTGCACCCATCCCTGTGCACCCAATCTGTCGCACCCTGTCCGCCAGGTGGAGCCCCCGAAGGACCCAGAGACCTACATCCACCGCAGCGGCCGCACGGGCCGCGCCGGCCACACTGGCGTGTGCATCACGCTCGTCGGCCGCAAGCACGAGGGCCACATACCCTACATCGAGAAGAAGGCCGGCTTCAAGTTCGAGTGAGCGCGGCAACTTGCGCCTGACGCGCGATCTCACTGCCGGCGCCCCCAGGCCGCCTGCATCCTTTGATGTGCATGCAGGCGTCGCTGTTCCGCACCTGCCTGCGGCGTGCGTGGGGCGTCCTGTTTTCCAGCAGGAGCTGTGCTGATCAGCGCTGACCGCCACCTGCTTCTTTGTTCTCTCTCCCCCCCTCTCCCAGGCGCGTGGGCGCCCCGCAGCCCGCCGAGATGGCGGCCATCGCCGCCGGCCGCGTGCTGGAGGTCATGAAGGACGTCGACAAGAGTGTGGTGCCCCTCTTCAGGTAAGCGGGGCGGCAGGGGGCAGGCGCCCGCAGATTTGGGGCTGTGAGGGTTGGCTGGCGGGGAGGGCGAGGCGAGGCGGGCGCCGTCCCTCCCCTCATGAGGACGTTGGTCGTTGCGAGGGCTGCGGCCACATATCCCCTCATCCACCCATCTCTCCACCCATCTCTCCACCCATCTCTCCACCCATCTCTCCACCCATCTCTCCACCCATCACCTCATTGCGCAGCGACGCCGCCAAGGAGTGGCTGGCGCAGTGCTCCGGCCCCGAGGAGGCTGTCGCGCTGGCCCTGGCTAAGATCACGGGCCACACCGAGCTCAAGGCACGCTCCCTGCTCACTGCCCAGGACGGCTTCACCACGCTGCTCTACAGACAGGTGAGGCCGCCGGCCCGGATAGGCCCGCGCCGCGCGCGGGCAGGCGCCGCGCGGGCGTCGCGCCGCTGCGGCTGTTTGGCGTCCTCTGATCAAGTTGGTCGCTGCCTGGTGCTGGTCGCCTGCATGCAGCAGTCAACAACATGCTGAAAAGAAAATACTGACGCTGCTGTGCAGGGCAAGTCCGAAATCAGGCCTGGCTATGTGTACAACTTCCTGAGGCGCCACCTGGCGGATGACGTCGTTGAGGAGGTGAGCGCCCCCACACACACACGGCCAGACCGCTCGGGTCGATCCAAGCCTCAGGCAGCCGCACCTCGTTGAGGCGCGAGGCGCGGCCGGTGTGCGTCCCGCTGGCCGCCCGAAGGCGCGCCCCGCCGACGCTGGTTCATGCAGCCACAAGCAGGCCGTGCAGGCCCACAGCAGACCTGGGCCTGATTGCAACCTTGGGATACACGCTCACCATTCCGATCATCGCTGCCCCCCGCGCCACCCCCAGGTGCGCCGTGTGACGCTCACGGAGGACGGCTGCGCGGCCGTGTTTGACGTGCCCACGCAGCACGTCGCCGCCATGCTGGCAAAGGCCACCGCGCCCCCGGTGGAGGAGGACGCTGCTGCGGAGGGCGTGCGCGCCATCACCACGCTGCCGCCGCTCAAGCTGCGGGAGGATGGCGGCGGCGCAGGCTTTGGCGGCGGCGGCGGCTACGGCGGCGGCGGCGGCGGCTACGGCGGCGGCCGCGGGGGCTTCAGCCTGGGCCGCGGCGGCGGGCGCGGCGGCGGCGGCAGGTTTTCGCCAGGGGGGCGCGGCGGCGCCAGGGGCGGCGGCCGCGGGGGCCGCGGCGGG